TGTGTGTGTGTGTGTGTGTGTGTGTTTTTACTAGGCCTGTGAAATGGAAAAGTCTGGAAACCATTTGTTTAGGTTAGCACTAGAGTACATAGTGCCAAGTAAGTAAGGGTTAGATCATGAGGGACCTTAAGAGCTATGCTGAGGAATTTGGATTTCATCCTCAAGGCAAGTAGGGAATCACGGGAGGATTTTAAGCAGAATTGTAGCATCAAATTTGCCTTTGGAAAGCTCTCTGGCTGTTACATGGGCGGATGGATTAGAGAGGATAGAACAGGAAACAGGGGCATGAGTTGGGAGGTAGAACTAAGGTGTTGGCAGTGGGGCTGGAAAGAAGGGAAAATATTAGGAAAATATGAAAGAGTTGAAATTGATGGGACTTGGGTGACTGATTGATGTGAGGAATGAGAGAAATGAAGGCCTGAAAGATGAATTGTAATTTCTGGTTTCGCCAGAGGCTGGGTGAGTGTGCCAGGCACTGAACAGGGGGTAAAGAAAGAACAGGTTTGTATCTTCAGCTCTTCATGATCCTTTGGGCAAGTGGAGGTGAGGGGCAAAGGGAGGATCAGCGCTCCTTTTTACCTATATCGAGTTGAGGGTTCTTGTGGGACAGCCAGCAGAAGTGGATGACATCACCGCAGAGTCTGCAGAATGAGACAGGGGCTGTGGACCATGCTGAGGAGTCCTTGCTGGAGGTTGAACCACCAGACTCTTCCTGGAAGCCCGGGAAGAGTACTTACCAAATCAGGAGGAAGGTACTCCATGCCACAGAGTCAAAGAAGCTACGGAGTCCTTAGGGCTGGGCACAGAGGCCCACAGTGACCTTGGTGGGAACCTGACCGCTGCTGAGCAGTTAATGGAGGTGATGGGAACAGGTGTCCCATTTCTGCAAAGGAGGGTAGCATGGAGCAGAGCCACCCGTTGAAGATGCTGCAGCCTCAGCCGCTCCAACATTTTTGTACAAGTAAAGCCGCATAGAAATGATGATGAAGGGGGCCGCGCTGAGGGGAAAATGAAGATTTAGAAAAAGGCAGTATATCTGCTGCAGGTGGGGAGGGGTGCCGGAATACCATGATGCCAGGAATCCACCTCCACCTCCCTCCACCCTTGCACCCCATTTCTCTGACTAATTCACATGCATAAGAACCTGAGGGGTTTGTTTTTATTTATTTATCTCCCTGAGAAATGAGGTTTCTTGGTCTCTAAAATTTTGTTTATTGATCTCTGTGGTTTTTTCCCTTTATGTCAATTTTGAGCATGTGACTCATGCTCTTTGCTTCTTTTCTGCTTTCATTTGGTTTCTTCACTTCTCTGAGGCTCACGTACATATGTTTGTCCTGTTATATTTGCAAGATTTATGTTCATTTTATTTCCTAATCTAGGTGATAGTCGTGAATTGAGATCCTAAAATTACTAGTTTTTGTTGTTGTTAGCTGCTTTCAAGTTGGCCTCCAACTCCTGGTGACCCTATGCACAAAAACATTTTGATCCATAGGTTTTTTTATTGGCTGATTTTTCAGAAGTAGATCACCAGGCCTTTCTTCCTAGTCTGTCTTAGTCTGGAAGCTCTGCTGAAACCTGTTTGGCATCGTAGCAACACACAAGGCTCTACTGACAGATGGGTGGTGGCTGCACGTGAGGTACATTGGTCAGGAATCAAATCTGGGTCTCCTGCATGCAAGGTGAGAATTCTACCACTGAACCACCACTGCGCCCTAAAATTACTCATCGGACTGACCAGCCCATTGCTGTTGAGTCGATTCCGACTCATAGCGACTAGTCCACCCCCTTAAAAATGAAACGCTTAGCATTTTTGTCCGTGGCTTCATTTTTAGGGTCTGAATAAAACATTTCAGTTAGTCCATTTACAGAAAGAGGGAGTCGTACATTTTGCTATTATCCTAATGAGATGATATATATCCGTTAATGTAAAAACCAAAAATCTCAAAATCCTCCTATAAAATGTTGATCAATTTGATGACATTAAAATAAAAAATGTTAACAGATCAAAAATCTCTGTAAACAAAAGAAGGTGAGAGAAGTATTAGCAACACATGTGACAAAGGACTCATGTTCCTCATATGCAAAGGGTTTTACAGATCAATAAGAAAAAGACTAACAGCCCAATAGAAAAATGGGCAAAGATCATTAACGGACACAAGAGGAAAGAGAAATGGCTGGTAAACATAAAAATATGCTTCACGTCACTCATCATTAAATCTATAGAAAGTAAAAAGTGATGTTGGCAAAGATTGTTTAACAAGAGTGGTGGGAAACTGGTTGGAGTGGGCGTGGATGGACAACACTTATATTTTGCATTTCTAAAGATTTCTTGTTAATTTTAAACAAACAAGCACGCACTTCCATATAATACGTTCTGACAAATCAGATGAACTCCAGTTTAAATCCCACTTCTTGGTTCTACAATCTTAGACAAGCTACCTAACCTAAGTCTGTTTCCTCATTTATAAAATGTGGGTAGCAATACCTCAAATATCTTAAATAAGTTAGTATGAGAATTAAATGCATAATATATGGAAATGAATGGTTAATAGTAAAACCAAAAAAAACCAAACCCATTGCTGTTGAGTCGATTCCAACTCATAGTGACCCTATAGGACAGGTTAGAACTGCCCCATAGGGTTTCCAAGGAGCAGCTGGTGGATTCAAAACAAACTGTTAACCTTTTGGTTAGCAGTCGAACACTTAACCACTGCACCACCGGGGCTGCTTAGTTAATAGTAAGTACTCCATAAATAATTGCCACTCCCATCATTATCATCAAGGGACTAAACCGAAATATACTTGAAGCTACTGTCAATGAGTGTGAACTGAAGGACCTGAAGCTGCCTAACGGTACAGGTAATCATGATCCAAGTCAGAGCGCCTGGTAAAGCAGCCCATTGCAGTTTGGTCTCTGAGGATATACTTTTTGTAGAAAAGGGCAGGTTAGTGAGATAGAAAAGGAAGTATTCCAGCATTTTACAGAGTACAGCCTTGAAGACAAGCTTCTAACTTGTGTCTGGTGACAGGGAGGTTAGAGTGCTCTTTCTTTGTAATTCCGGTTACTTTGCACCCTGGCAAACACCTGTCTTTTATCATCAACCCCAAGCCTTTTTTGTGTCTCCCCTTCCTCATCACAATGGTTTCAGCTTCTCTGGCATACCCACAAAACACCAGGGAATTCAGTTCCTCATCTAATGCCATTCGTTTTCACATTTAAGTAAGACTAAGTTTTTATACCCTTATTACTTGCACAATTGATTTTCCTATCTCTCATACATGGATATAGCTCTTGGTAGAAAACACAAAATTTTGGCAGCCTAGATCCTTGCTGTATGCCCTAATCAGTCTCTTAGAGTATTATTCCCTTACAATCGTTTCTTGTAGGGCATGCTTGTTAACTTCTGGGTCTGCCCAGACATTACTGGAGCAGGAAGGAGAGCAGGGAGTTCAGCTGATTAAGAATTGCTGTGGAGCATGCTTTTGATGTCAAGTGTGAAAACTCTTTGCCTAGCCCTAGATCCCTAAGATTTTCTCATGTGTTTTTTCCAAAAGTTATAGTTTTATATTTTACATTTAAGTCTGTGATCCATTTTGAGTTAATTTTTATATAAGTTGTGAGACTTAGGTCAAGGTTCTTTTTTTTTTGTATATGGAAGTCCAATTGATCCAGCACCATTTGTTGAAAGGTGATGCTCCTTCCTCTACCGAATTGCTTTTGCACCTTTTGTCAATAATAATAAGACTTGAAATTGAGTAGACTGATTCCTCCCACTTTATTATTCTTTTTCAGAATTGCTTTAGCTATTCTAGTTCCTTTGCCTTTACATAAAAATTTTAGACTAATCTTGTCTGTATCTACAAAAAAAAAATTAATGGAATTTGTGTTAAACTTATGTATCAATTTGGGGAAAACTGACATCTTTACTATATTGAGTCTTCCTTTCATTAAACGCAGTATGTCTCTCCATTGATGCAGGTCTTCATCAGCATTTTATAGTTTTTAATATACGAACCTTGTACATGTTTTGTTAGATTTACACGTAAATATTTCAGTTTTCTTGAGGGATTTTCATTGGCATTATATGGTTTTAATTTCAGTGTCCCCATGCTCATTGCTGGTATGTAATATTATAATTCATTTTTGTATGTTTGTCTTGTATCCTGAGACCTTCTGAACTCATTTGTTAGTCCTAGGAGTTTTCTGTAGATTCCTTGGGATTTTCTGTATAGACAATCATGTCATCTGAAAATACGGACAGTTTGATTTCTTTTTTTCTCATCTGTATGGCTTTTATTTACTTTTCTTGCCTTATTGTACTAGCTAGAACTTCTAGTACTATATTAAATAATGAGAGCAGACATCCTTGCCTTATTCCCAGTCTTAGAGGAAAAGCATTTAATCTTTCACCGTTAAGCATAATGTTAAATATAATGTTGATCGTTCTGTGCTGAGCTTTTATAAATACTAATTGACTGTGGCAATGCAGCAGTCTACTGATTTGATGAATCCAGGCACTATCAGGCGGCTCTGCTCCTATAGATGGATTCAGACTGCAGTGGTTTCCTAGGGTGAAGTGTGAGCAATGAAGATAATAGACTTTGGAGTCAGAACATTCAGATTTAAGTTTTGACTCCTCCACCTTCCATCTAGATGGCCTGAAGCAAATTGCTTATACCTCTCCAAGCCCCATTTCCTCATCCACAAAAGAGAAGGCACAGCACCAGCCTGCATCAGTTATTGTAAGAATCAAAGGGAGTAATGGCTGTTAGTTATTATGTCTCTATAGCAGGAGAGCCCTACCCACGCAGCAGGAGCTGGGAAGTGGCCCCTTGGAATTCAGTGAGATCTTCACGCAGCCCTGCTGTGACCCCACCCAGCTCCTTGGTTTGTCTATCCCTATGGAAGATTTGACAGTTTCAGCTGGATCATAAGAGTTTCCACTTGGGATGTTATACTGAAAGGCTCGGTGATCCAGGAATAGTGGCACACACAAGGACTCAGTGCGTGAAAGCAGACTACTTGGGTTCGCTTCCTGACTTCTCCACTTACATCTGTGTAAGCTTGGGCAAATCATGTAGCCCCCAAGCCTGAATGTCCCACCTGGAAACTGGGGGGATGACAGAACTGCTTCAGAGGGCTGTTGTGAAGACTAAATGAGCTAACTTACATGACGTTTTTAGTACATTGTGTGACGAGTTATGTTAGCTACTGTCATTACTGTTGGTGACTATGAAGGACACATACTTATTTGTGAATCACCGTTCTTAAAAACAAAATTTTTTGCTTTGCAGATTTTTTAAAAAATGGATTTGGCCAACCATGGACTTATTCTCCTGCAACAGTTAAACGCTCAGCGAGAGTTTGGTTTCCTGTGTGACTGCACGGTTGCAATCGGCGATGTGTACTTCAAGGCACACAAATCAGTTCTTGCTTCATTCTCCAATTACTTTAAGATGTTGTTTGTCCATCAGACCAGGTAACTAACGTGGTTGATAATAATCGAATGACTGTAGACTTCTTAACATCATGTCCCTCGTTCCCATCAAGACTGTGGGTCTCTACTGCTGCCTAGACTCCTAGCCCCCCAGCCCCTTGTGGCCTCACTTGCCCCCTTTTACCCATCTTGGTTACTCCTGCTTTCAGTGCTACTTGAGAATCACTGGACCTTCTAGCCCCAAGCAGCCCCTCTCTCGCCCCTCCAGATGTACTCGCTGGGTATCACCTGCGTCGACAGGACAGCTGGGGTTGGGTCCATTACAAAGTCAGCTACATAACAACCTCAGTGGCCCCGTCTTTCATTAATCTTCTGTGGGCTTTCTGAGCCTTTTCTGCACTACTTCCCCCCCAGCCCTGTAAGTATCCTCCTTATTTTCAGAATTTATGCTTGTTTCTTACTCTAATGAGAAGCTTGAGGTCACGTGTTCCTCCAATTTCCCTCTTTTCTGTCTGAAAATGTCTCTGTCGGATCAGTTTTTTCTTCTCATCTCTCCAGTCTTAGAGAAAACGGCCTCTTGTGTCTAAGGAAAACAATGCTCTGCCTTTTTCCCTGATGCTCCAGGACCCTACCCCTCACTTTTTATTCTGGACTTTTTGTTTTCATCCTTTGTGTCCACCCCCTCGGTCTGGAAGGATCTGGACTTCCTTGACCCTGCTGTCTCCTTGAGTCATGGTGCTGTTTCTCCTTCCTTATACCACTGCAGTCCTTAAGAGGGTCATCTGTGTCGCTGCTCATACTCTCTCACCCCTGTCTCCCCGTGCGTACAGTGTGGTTTCCACCCCGCCGCTCTGCTGAGATTATTCTCCCAGAGGCCACCTCTTCCTCAAAACCACTGCCCATCTTAGTCTTCTCATCTTTGTCCTCCACAGCATTTGCTACTGTTCACTTTTCTTCCTCTTTAAGAAGTTGTCTCCTGCATTTTTGTGACTCTGCAGGCATCTCCTTCTTCTGCCCTCTAAACACCAGCCTTCCACATTTTGGCCTTGGGCTCTTCCTTGTGCAGTCACCTCCTGGGCTTACCCCCTCTGCTGCAGATTTCCATTTTATGGCTCCGATGTGACCTGTACTCCGGAGGCCTTCTCAGCCCTCACGGTTTAGAATTGAACGTCCTCCTTTCATCTCAGTGAGCATGACTAAAACAGAATCCAGTCTCCTCCCGAGAGTCCCTCCTGTTTCATCTTCAAGTAACAAAACCTTAAAATCGCTCTGTAAACATTTGATTTCTTATTTATCTTATCAGTCTCCCAAATCATGTTTTCTTCAAAATCCTTTCACAATGGTCTGTTCCTTTCCCTTCTCATTTCCATTTCCTAGTCATTCATTTTCCACATTACCGTCAGGGTAATATTCCTAAACCTTGCTTTGATTGTGTTATCCCTTTGATCAGAAACCTGGTAAATGTGTTATTCCTTTCATCAGAAACCTAGAGGTTTCTGGAATAAGATTTCTGCATAGACTCCTTGTTCTGCCATTTAAGGCCCCAGAGCCTTAGCACCTAGCCTCCTTCAGCCTCATTTCCAACTGAGTCCCTACAGCTCTTTCCACCGGCCCCGTAAGTTTCACACATCACCCCTTCCATGACGCCTCCCCTAATCAAACTGAGCTAATGAGCAGAAGTGGTCTGTTGCACTTTGCACTTTATTTATGCCACTCTGCAGCATCTACACATTTCCCCTCTTTAGTTGTTAAGTGTGGACTTACCTCCCCCTCTTATCTGTAAGTTTCTTGAGGGCAGAGCCCGAGTTTTACAGTGTACAGGTCAGGTCTCTGCACATAATAGCCACCCTATCAATGTGTGCATGAGAAGAATGAGTGAAGGGTGGGATTAAAGACAAGGAGAGATTGCTTTGTCGTACAGCACTAAGGATGCTCCCTTTTACTTCATTGTCTTAGAGATTTCATAGCTAAGGGCGGGGGTGGGCGGGGGTTGTATCTAGAAGTACCAATACAGGTAAAAGAATACAAGGTAATGGATTTTATATAGAGGCAAGAAACTTAAGTCTAGGGCAGTAAATAAATGCCTTCGACAAGGCAATATGGTATTTGTATAGCTAGAGACCCAAGTTTAAGCAGTAGTTTGTATTGATGCACCAAAGGTGGCGTATGTCATTTGGCCTTCATATACAGAGTCAGAGCTCACTGAAGCAAGGCCACCAGAAGGCCAAAACCAGCCTCCCAGGGAGCTGGGACATGCTTTTCAGCCTATGCCTGCCTGTGTGTTAGGCTCTGGGGAATGCCGCCTGATGCTTAGAAACCGACTGAGAAGCCCATCAGGATTCCGCTTTACGTCGGTAGTTACCACTAGATGTCTCTGTCTGTGTTCGCTGCTCTAAACAGAAAGCTTAACTCATGCAAAGATTGCAGACTTGGAACTCTCAGAAATAATCCTGCTGAGGGACGATGTTGAATGTTATTTTAAAATGTTTATTTTCCGAGTTCCTTAAAACCATCATTTATTTTAAGATTCTAATTAAGGAAAAAGGAGCCCTGGTGGCGCAACAGTTAAGTGCCTGGCTGCTAACCAAAAGTTGGTGGTTGGAACCCACCACCTGCTCCGTGGGAGAAAAGACCTGGTGATCTGCCCCTGTGAAGATTAAAAACAAACCTGTTGCCATTGAGTCAATTCCTACTCATAATGACCCTATAGGACAGAGTAGAACTGCCCCATAGGGTTTCCAAGGCTGTAATTTTTACCAAAGCAGACGGCCACATCTTTTTCCCTCAGAACAGCTGGTGGGTTCCACCTACCAACCTTTTGGTTAGCAGCTAAGCACTTAACCACCACGCCACCAGCCTAGGAAACCCTATGAGGCCGTTCTACTCTGTCACATGGGGCCACTACGAGTTGAAACCAACCCAACGACCTAACAACAACAGCAGCAGTGAAGGGAAAATTGAAGATGGAAATTAGAGTGAAAGTTTACACAGCAGGGCTTTTAACTGTACAAAAACTATATTCATTTTTTTCTACTTAAAAGTGTTATGTCAGACAGACACCTGCAAATCAAGCCTACATAGGTATAATTATATTGTAGAGACCTACATCCTTCCCAAAAGAGTTGGAAAGTTTCAAAGTCTGGCCTCTAGCGAGCCAAGTGATTTTAAATGGGGGGCAAGCTGCCTGGGAATAAAAGCAGCCAAGGAAGGAGACAGCTGATGTGTGACCTGAGGAATGTTTTAAAATTCCACCTAATTGTGTTTCTTAAATGTGTGTGTACATGTGCTTCTGCTTTGAGAGGGGGAAGAAAAACCTTAAAATAAAAAAATCAAAATAAGTTGGTGTCTGGAAACTTCATTGGGTCCTAGGGCCCCTGGCAGTGAGCCCAGGGACTTCTGCTTTCTTCTCCCTGGTAGCTTCTCCACCAATACTTATGGTTTCTTGGAGTCCTTTTCCCTCCAGGCCTGGCTGAAGTGTAGACTCTGGCCCCCCCAGCTCTCTCCTTCCTTTGCCATCAGAGACATGCACATAGTTCTTTGCAGTTTGAGAGGTGTTACTGTCATGCCCCCATTCACAAACCATAGACAGAGGACAAGCTGTACAACAACAAAACGAAATTACAACACTTACAACAGAGTTCCTATAGAAAGGGGTGCTGCTTGGTAGTACCTTTCATGGGTGCTAAATACCAAAGCCCCCTCCCCCATTGGATTTTCCTTTCCCCCTTTTTTTTTTTTGGTTGGAGGAGAGTCTCACCAACTCCATCCCCTCCTTCTGCCTTGAGAAACATTCCATCCTGGCAGGACAAAAGGTGCCCTGGGGTCATTTGCATCTCTGAAGGCCTATGGTCCCCATTTCCCTAGGCCTCTGCCTCCCTCAGGAAGGACCCCTCTCATTTCTTCATGTTGGAGTGATTGTTTGCATTACTAAAGTGTTCTTCACCACAAGGTCACTGAGGCTTTGTTTTGAATATTGAACATCCCTAAAACAAAAAAAAAAAAAACAAAAAAAAACCAAACCCATGCATGGAGTCATAGTGACCCTAGAGGACAGGGAAGGACTGCCCCATAGGGTTTCCAAGGAGCACCTGGTGGATTCAAACTGCCAACCTTTTAGTTAGCAGCCGAGCTCTTAACCACTGTGCCACCAGGGCTCCTGAACTTCCCTAGACATCTAAATATATTGAAATGTACACTTAATATTTTGGAACTCATCTTGTGTTAAAGGGATGACCACCTGTATTAACATTCCTGTCTAAAGATGTGAACTGGGTGAGAGAAGCCTCCAAATTAAGATACAAATGACCTGTGTGGTGTGGAAAAAAAAGTCACCTAAGCACTTCCCTTTACACTGTCAAAAAGATGCTGCTTATTATGCTTGATCTTTATTTTTTGACTTCTAGACTTTGTAGTCAGATATTTTTCAAATTTGCATGCAGTCTTCTTAAAATATACACACATTGATGGCAATTCAGTAATTATTCAGATCTGTTCTATCACAAATTGCTGTTAAAGCCCTGTCTTTTTTCTTTTTTTTTCTGATACAATGTTAAATTTAGAATAGTAGGGTATGTGGTTAATACTTTAGCATATTGAAAAATATTTAATAATAAGATACAGATGATTGCTAAAGGAGCCAAAAAGAATTGTATTACCAAAAAGTGGTATAATCAAAAGTGATTATAAGTTCAGAAAGCATTGAAGTTGAAAATGCACTGTCTATAGAATATAGTCACTCAGTGGATAGTGATATATACCTCATGATATATATATCTCATTGATTTCTCATGATGCCTCCGAATTTCTGTCATTACTGATGGTCTACAAGAGTTCTTGCGAACCTCTGAATTACTGCTTCTTAGTCAATCTGATGTTTCTGGAACGATGCAAACTCCAGAGTCTGAAAGTCAGAAAATCAGCAACACCACCAACTACTTTAGGAGCCTCAAATAAAAAATCACTTAACTTTCTGGGACCTCAGCTTCCTTATCTGTCAAATGGAATAATGCACGCATAATTTTATAAGATCTTTTACTTGTGTCTTTCAGTGAGTGTGTCCGTTTGAAGCCCACTGACATCCAGCCCGATATCTTCAGTTATCTCTTACACTTGATGTACACAGGGAAGATGGCACCACAGCTTATTGACCCCGTCCGCTTGGAGCAGGGGATCAAGTTTCTGCACGCTTACCCACTCATCCAGGAAGCCAGCCTCGCCAGCCAAGGAGCCTTCTCTCATCCTGACCAGGTGTTCCCGCTAGCTTCCTCCTTGTATGGCATCCAGATAGCAGATCATCAGCTGAGACAAGCCACCAAGATTGCCCCGGCCCCTGAAAAACTTGGAAGAGAGCCAAGGCCACCGACATCCAGGGTGAGCCACGAGCAGGTGCCCGAGGCCTCCCAGCTCTCCCAGTTACCTTCGAATCTGACTCAGGTGAATCGGACAAACATGACTCCCTCCGACCCACTGCAGACCTCCTTGTCTCCAGAACTTGTTTCCACTCCTGTGCCTCCCCCTCCTCCCGGGGAGGAGACCAATATGGAAGCTTCTTCCTCTGACGAGCAGCCCACATCCCTCACCATAGCCCACGTCAAGCCGAGCATCATGAAAAGGAACGGAAGTTTCCCCAAGTACTATGCTTGCCACCTGTGTGGACGGCGGTTTACGCTCCGGAGTAGTTTGCGAGAACACCTCCAGATTCACACGGGAGTACCTTTCACATCAAGCCAGCCAGGAGAAAGCCGTGTCCCCCTGTCCCTTTGTAGTAATGCGGCCGACCTAGGAAAAGATGCCATGGAAGTGCCTGAAGCGGGGATGATAAGCGACAGTGAGCTGCAGCACATCTCAGATTCTCCCATTATCGACGGCCAGCAGCAGTCAGAAACCCCGCCCCCCTCGGACATCGCAGACATTGACAACCTGGAGCAGGCCGACCAGGAAAGGGAGGTGAAGAGGCGGAAGTATGAGTGCACGATATGCGGACGCAAATTCATCCAGAAGAGCCACTGGAGGGAGCACATGTACATCCACACCGGGAAGCCTTTCAAATGCAGCACTTGTGACAAGAGCTTTTGCAGGGCCAACCAGGCTGCCCGACACGTGTGCCTCAACCAGAGCATCGACACATACACCATGGTGGACAAACAGACCCTGGAACTCTGCACGTTCGAGGAGGGCAGTCAGATGGACAACATGTTGGTGCAGACCAACAAACCTTACAAATGCAACTTGTGTGACAAAACATTCTCGACTCCCAATGAGGTGGTTAAACACTCATGCCAAAACCAAAACTCGGACGTCTTTGCCCTGGACGAGGGGCGGTCCATTCTCCTGGGCACTGGGGACTCAGAAGTGACGGAACCTGACCACCCAGTGTTAGCATCCATCAAAAAGGAACAGGAAACAGTGTTGTTAGACTGAATGTTACTGGTCTTTTAAAAAAAAAAAAAAAACTGTCATTTTTACAGACTATCTTCCTCTCCTTCCCCCAATTCAGAACTATAATATGGTTTTCCATGGCATGAATCAAACAGGTCTCTGTCCCCTTTCTCCTTGTCCCCTCCTCCTCATCTGCACAGCCCCACCTCGGTAACCGTTTTGTGCATTAGAGGCCTGAAATATATTTAATACAGGGGATATTGGAAAGATAATGGTCAGTAGTACTTATAAACTCAAACAGATTGAGAATTTTAGTTTATTTAAAAGCATACTTGGAACTAATGAAGGGTATATACCAAAACAACCAGAATGCAATTTGGTAAGCTAAAATTACGACTTTTCCTGGGTATTAAGTCTTCTTCTCAGAAAAACAATGTCAGAAAATACAGCGTGCTCTGGGCTGTGTACTATGCAAAATATAGAAGTGTGGGGAAACTTTAAACCCAAGCAAATGTTCTTAGTTTTCTTCTGCAGGCGTTTTGTTTCAGAGTGCATCCTTTGAGATTATGTCCAGTCGAGAAAAATCATTAGTTAGGAAATCTACTTTAACAAAACACTCCCAAAAAAAAGGAAAAAAAAATAATAATGTGATGGCAATCTTAATTTGGGGGTGAAACATGACAAGCTGTGAGTCTGTGTGTCTGTAAGAGAATATGTGTGGGTACTTGCTCGAAACAGGTGAATTGATGATGCACATGCCTTATCTAAATGCTAGCCTCTTTCTACGGTGAACAACAAAATGCTGTATTTTTAGTTTCTGACAAATTTGTTGTCTGTTTTTAAAATCAGATTTGAAAAATACTGTCCTACAGATTGTCCTTCTGAATAGAAAATGATATGCCACTCTTGAACTGTTGCCGATGGTAAACATGTTAGCACCAGCCGGATGCTTTTAAATGGGTGTGTATACCGCATGGGAAAGGATACGGGTGAGGCTGTGAGCAGAGCATGTAGTGACTTTAATGATGTCAACAGTTAGTGCTAATAGTTTACTGGCAACATTCATGGAAGCATCAAAAAATGGTAAAGAGAAACCAGGACAAAAAGTCCCAATTGCTGTTTGGGGAAAAACTTGATTTTGCTGTTTGTTTTCCACTTTTCTTTTTTTTAAAAAAAAAAAAAACACCTGAAATTCTCTCCATTGGCCTGAGAGCAGTAAATATTGTCCGTTAATCTTCCCTTAGGCCAGTAACAGAACGGTCTCCTGGGACAAAATAGGAGCCAGAAATAAGGACCGAAGGGGAAAGGGAGGGGAAGAGCCGTTAATAGCTCTGCTCTGTGTATATGTTGAAAACTGAATATCCCATCATTCTATTTCATGTATAGTTCAATTCTCAGATTTGTAAGTTTTTATACATCCTTTCATTGAATAAACGTTTAAGTAAATGGGTATTTGATTTTGTCTGTGTGAATTACTTTGTCTATCTGGAAGGAGGCCTGGTGGGGACATGGAGAACACTGCATGAGGAGGCATGTTCTTGCTGTAGCTCCTCTTTCTGTAGGCAGAACTTCGGGCCATCCCCTGAGTGTCATTTCCCATATTAGTAAAATGAATACATTGGTAACTGCATTGGGTCATTAGATTGTGAGACTCAAATGAGTTAACAATGTGTGAAAATGCTATGGCAATAGACGTTTGACCAGGAATGGGTCTAAACCCAAACCAAACCTGTTGCCATCCAGTCAATTCCAACTCATAGCAACCTTATAGGACAGAGCAGAACTGCCCCACAGGGTTTCCAACGAGCAGCCCATCTTTTGGTTAACAGCCAATCTCTTAACCACTACACCACCAGGGCTCCAGAATGGGTCTAGAGATCATTTGATCCAACTTCCTTTTACAAGGAAGAAAACAGGCCAAGAGGCATTTGCCTAAAGATGATAAAAACTGAAGGTGCTAGATAAATCTAGATTATTAAATATTGAGTGGTTTCCATCAATTTCATCTTTAAAAAAAAAAAACTATTCAGTTGTCTCTCAACTCAAATGAGAGGTTTACGCCAGATGGCATATTAATCTCTTGAATACTGTGAAAAGGCAAGTCACGGTGGGCCTCTGCAGCCCCACACACCCTCACATCCACACACCCCAGTGGCCTTGAAGGGGAGTGAGTGACTTGCAGCCAAAGGGCAGGGTCTTGATGAAAAAGTAATGGTAATCATGAGGGATGATGGTGTGTGAAGAGGGAGGGGGAAGGGCAACATGCCAGCCAGCCCCAGTCCAGCTCCCTGATCTTGAGGAAGTGGAAAGGCAGGCATTGCGGTCACCTAGTGGGTTTATATGGGACACAGACTTTTAGCACCAGCTTGTGGCCACGTCCTTCCACTGTGGCAGGCCTGCAAAACCCAGCTCCCTCCCAAAACAAAGAGAGGAGCAGAGTGGACTTACCCAAGCCCACCCACGCCTCTGGAATGCTCAGCACCAATTCTAATGCAAGAGTTAGAAATCTCACAATGGAGTCTGAGTTTCTGATGGCACACACTTTAAGCTTTAGAAGTTTCAGTTGCTGGTATGAGCAATCTGAACACCTAATCTTCAGAGTTAATTTGAGCTGTTATTCTCCTGAGTCTATCCCATATTCACAACCCTGGTTCTATTGTTTTTCCTTTTGTAGGGAAAACAGTAAAAAGTGATTCACTCATTCAATAGATGTTGCTAAAAAATAGATTGTATAAAGTACCGTAGGATTTTATTTTACCATAGGAGATACAGAGCGCTGGTGGCACAGTGGTTGAGAGCTCAGGCTGCTGACCAAAAGGTCAGCAGTTTAAATTCACCAGCCATTCCTTGGAAACCCTGTGGGGCAGTTCCACTCTGTCCTACACGGTCACTATGAGTCGGAATCGGACTCGACAGCAACAGGTTTTGTTTTTGTGTTATAGGAGATACAGTCTTAATGGGAAGGAGATATTGCCATTTAAAAGGGAACTTTGGATCATGATATAAAAATGGAGAGTACAGTGGGCCCCAAACCTCCTGATTAGGAACTAGCCATCATTGCTTTTTGTAATTTGATTTTGCAAGAAAGGGGAAATGCTGAGTCATCCAAATTAAAGGTCTTCAGTTCCAAATTTGAGGCCAAACACTGCATGGCTATGTTTGAAAAGATGCAGGTACTTAGAAAGATGGCTGGGGAGGAGGGTGCGTGCTTGATGCAGTAAAACCTGCGAAAGCCGGAACCTGTGTAAGGTGGAAACCTGTCAGAGAAGGAAAACTCATATATTTTCCACTAAAAGAAGCAATAGGAAAGTGGTGAGACTGCACCCTGTCGAAGGTGAAAAACTTGCCAGACCCAGAAAAACAAGTCAGCCCCCTCGAGTTCCAGCTCTCACAGGTTTCACTGTACCGTCTCCTGCAGTCCTGCTGGAATGATGATGGGTGGGGGAGCCCTCCTCACTAATTCATGAGGAGTGGATTCTAAGACAAAATTATTTGTATGGCACATCTAGAGTTTACTGCAATGGAATATAACTTGTTCTTCAACATTTGCATATTTCATGACAAATTTCAGAACCCTGTCAATATTTAAATTATAATTTGCTTCCAGTACTTTGTGTTAGGTCTAATGTCAAGGATTGCTACACCTCATTTGCAGGTAAGCAAGATTTAGACTTAGAAATTGTTAAGCAAATAAAAAGCCAATTACAATACAGATCAACTAATCTGTTTTTTCCTAGAACTAGCTTCTTAAACACAACTGTAAGAATATCAACTAAACTATTAATAGCTCTCTAAAGACAAGAATTAGACTGTTAGAATTTTTAACTATACAAATAGCTGTAAAAACAACGACAAAAACAAAAAAACTTCGAAACTAATGTTCCTAATGAGCCCTAAGCTAAAACTAGAAATTTTTACTTGAAACTTTCTGGAGCCGTGCCAATTAACATAGAGGCTTCTAGGAAATTAGGATGAACAGCTATCTCATTCATAGGAATTCATTTGTAAACTCTGAAGCCAATCACGGGGCAGTGTGGGGAAATGGACCAGGAGGAAATGATATTCTGTGGTTTCATTTAACTGAGGCAAATCAACACATTTGTGAATATAAAAACCATTATTACCAACTCTTCAGACAATGATTGTACTGCACGGTGGGACATAAAATGATACTCGTGAAGAATGTACTTCTTAGCTCGAGTAGATACATGAGACTAAATGGGCAGCTTCTGTCCGGAGGTGAGATGAGAAGGCAGAGAGGGTCAGGAGCTGGTTGAATGGACACGGGAAATCAGGGGTGGAAAGGAGGAGTGTGCTGTCACCGTATAGGGAGAACAATTGGGGTCACATAACAATGTATGTATAAATTTTTGTATAAGAGACTAGCTCAAAATGTAAACTGTCACTTAAAGTACAATAAACGACAACAAAAAAGAACCATTATTCAATCCACGAATTAAGCTCTTTCAGAAGAAAGGCCTGGTGACCTACTTCCAAAAGGTCAGCCATTGAAAACTATATGGAGAACAGTTCTGCTCTGATATACATGGAGTCACCAGTGTCAGAAGGACTCCATGGCAACTTTTTTTTTTTTTTTTAACAACACCATTAAACCAAACCTGTTGCTGTCAACTCATGGCAACCTCATGTCTTACAGAGTAGAAATGCTCCATAGGGTTTTTTTGGCTGTAATTTCTACAAAAGCAGATTGCCAGGCCTTCCTTCCATAGTACTGCTGGGTGGGTTCAAACCGCTAACCTTTAAGTTAGTGGTCAAGCACAAACTGTTCATGCCAAGCTAGGGACCTATGATGCTATTAACACCTAATATGTAACCTTTGGAAACCCTGGTGGCCCAGTGGTTAAGAGCTACGGCTGCTAACCAAAAGGCTGGCAGTTTGAAGCCACCAGGCACTCCTTGGAAACCCTATGGGGCAGTTCTACTCTGTCCTTTAGGGTCACTATGAGTCGGAATCGACTCGACAGCAACAACTTTGTTTTTTTTAATATATACCCTTTGACCAACTTGTTGCTAGGGAGTCAACTCCAACTCATAGTGACCCTATAGGATAGAGTAGAGCTGCCCTATGGGGTTTCCAAGGAGCAGCTGGTGGATTCCAACTGCTAAGTTTTCTTAACCACCGCACCACCAGGGCTCCAGCACTTGGCAGTTGACAAGTGCTGTGGAGGCAGAAACCTTTGATTCAGCACAAAAGAGAAAGCAGAGAAGCAAGAAGTACAAGTCATAGCTTTCCTCGTTCATCTAGTCTACTTTCTGGTCTTTTAACTTTAGACAAATTATATTAATTTATTTACAGAAAAAAAAAAATATTTTCCAAATGTGCAAGCATTTCTGTGGGCTAGAAGCCATTGGGAGGCGAGATAGGAAAGCCTTTTCAGCTGTTAACCTACTCTGCTTTAGAGGCAATTAACTTGGATCCCTCTTACAGCCTTATATTATTGTGGGGGTTCTCCAATTTTAACACATCAGAATGTCCTGGAGGGCTTGGTAAACCGAGTGGAGACCTCACCACCGAGTGTTTGATTCCACTGATCTGGGATGAGACCCAAAAGTTTTGCATTTCTGACAGGTTCCGAGATGATGCTGATGCTGGTGCCGGGAGCCACACCTTGAGAACCATAGCGTCGTTGTATTATTTCTGCTATTCCTGTCCTTTCTTGAGTCTACTTGTTTTCTCAGGATTATAATAAACAGGGGAGCTAATAAAGGTCCAGTAAGGGATCTAAGCCTCTTGCTAACATGTTTCCTTCTCTGCGGCACAGTGCTCTTTGTGAGACACCTGTGATGTACAGGACTGTGCATGAGCCCTTAGAAGAAGTTCATGTTTGAGAGGCCCTGGAAATTACACCAAACCTCCCCGTCCTTGTAATCTGTGCACGCAAAATAAGAAGGTAGGCAACACAACCAAATACCTGAAAGTTTTTGAAGAGGCCACCTGTACAATCGTCCTTAGTGTAGCAAGGATCCAGTTGAAGAAACAAAATGGTATTGGGTAATTTGCCAACTGTTGCTATTGTTAGCTGCCATTGAATTGGCCCTCAACTGGTGGGGAAACTACATAAGTGGAACAGTTCAGACCGTTGTGATCCATAGGGTTTTCATTGGCTGGTTTTCAGAAGTAGGTTGCCAGGCCTTTCTTCCTAGTCTGTCTGAATTTGGAAG